ATACAGGATGCAGAAATATGTGTATATGTGTGTGCGTGTGTGCGTGTGTGTGCGTGTGTGTGTGTGCGCGTGTATGTTTATTTGCACGCTGCCGTTGAGGTGTGAGGGTGAAACACGAGTGAGTGTGTGTGTGTGAGAGAGAGAGAGAGAGAGAGAGAGAGAGAGAGAGAGAGAGAGAGAGAAGGGGGTGGAGGACGGAGCAAACGCATGTGTGCGTGTTTCCGTATGTGTGGGCGCGCACGCTTCCCAATATCTATAACCTATCTTTAGCATAAGCATTTTTACATTTTATGCTTGCCTCTTTGAAAAAAAAAAAATGATCGGGCTAATAATGTTTCAGTGAGTTTAAATTCACTGTACTGCTTCAGGCTACAGTAGCCGAGTGTGTGCAATGCCCCAAAGGTAGTTCATGACTTTTACATAGCGTCATTTACTTATTCTAGTGAAATTATATGTAGTTTATTTCAATTCAACCAGTTAAGTGTAGGCTGCAACGTTAGGTCTGTCATACCAATGTATCCGTGGCTACACTGTAGTTTTGAATTAGCCTACAACACGTGATTCGGCCGACAGGTTTGCTTCCATATGCAGGATTTAGACTATAAAATCTGCTGTTTTTGGCTCTTATTAAAACTCTTCGCCCTTACAGACCTGTTGAAAACAAGCCAATTACAAGCTTCTCTGACAGCTAACTTCATAGATGATAACAGGAACTGATGATACATTTTGACGTTAAAGGTGGATTTTACTTGACTGCAACTCCACCGACTCATTTATGTGTTTCTAAACGGCGAAATGCGACGCTGGGTGTGCAGCGCACCTGACTAAACCACAGGAGCTGCATTAAGGTGAGAAGCTGTGGAGCCAAAATGGCGCCCTGAGCCGTAGTATGCTGCGTTTAGGTGACGTGGGGAAAATATCAATTAAGCTAGTATGGGGTGTTATGAACGACGCAAACCATCATTAGCTAGCTTATCGCGCCTGATGAAAGGCTGAATTAGCAGCAGCTGTACGTGTTGTTAATATATATAACGTTAGTCTAATGCATGCACAACTTTGGCTAATTTTGGCTCACTTTTGGCTAATTTACAGATACTTACATGTCTGACACGATGTTGTCTTCCTTCTGTTCCTCCTCCAAAGACATAGCACCTTTGAAACGTGGATTTAAAATCCTCAAAACAAACTGAGCCAAAATTGTACTTTTTGGTGTTGCTTTCAACCAAAAAAAGACTTGAACAAGTGAAGGCTAGCATCACCACTTCTGCCCCCCTTCAGAGAGACAAGTGAAGGCAGCACAGTGCAGCGCCAGCCTTTGCTTTAAATGTTGAGGTTTGGCCGCCACCTTGCGGTTTAAACCAGCAGCTGCAGCTGAAGCTGGGGCTAATTCAAAAAAAATTAACGTTTTTTTTAACCCAAACACTATCTAGCTAAATGAGGGAAACTATTTAACAGGGCAGGAGAGAGAGGAAGCTCTATACCCCTCCCTTTATTTTCCATATATCTTTTGAATTAGGGGCACAGATTTTCCTGGGGACATCATTTCTGCATCATGCCAAAAATAAAAGTACAGGACTATGCTCCAATAACAAAATCAAATGACAAAATGTAATTTTTTTACCAGTCTGCCTAGTCTACTTAGTGTCAATTAAATTCCTAATCAACACACCTGTGCACCTGACACTTGTCATGGTAAGAAACGCACAGGTGTTACTAATAACATTAACAATGGCTCTGTATTGTCAAGGTGTCTAAGTATGACAGTGAGCTCGCATCCTCAATACAAGGAGCCCGAAACCAAAGCAGCTCAATGAAATTCAGACGTCAATAATTTGATCATTTACACCTGTGTTTTTCTACTGTGTGTCAAAATGTGATTCATTTTTTCACGTGCCTTTTCACAAGATCATTAAACACAATGTTTGACTCAACAGCTGCAAAGTGGGCTAACGCTTTCACAATAAAGACAATAAGATATCAGTTGTTATTGCTTCTGCTTCCTAGAAATAAAACATGCCACACAGGCCTTTTAACAGAGATGCAGTATTAATCTCTGGAGTCATTATTTAGCATTTCCATTCATCGTGAAATCTCGTTTTTTCTGGCACAAACACAAAATCAACATCTGGCTTTTATGTTGGCAGCAGTTGTAAATTTTCTCCCCAAAAAAAGGAGTAAATCTTTCCGACCAGACACATTTGCCTGTGATGTGATTTATCATCCCCCATCAGATTAATTTGGAGGGATTCTCGCCATCGTTGTTTTATTACCACCTACAGTGGAAGTGATTAGTGCCAAAAGAAAAACAGCCAGCCTCCGTCTACTTTTGCCTTGAAGATAAAAAGCTCTTTCTCGAGGTAATGTTTATGATTATGTACTACAGATGTGCATTATTAGCCTATGAAAATAGCATCTTTAAGTGTTTTTGGGCCTTTTGTTGAGCAGACAGTTCTCCCTGTAGGTTAATAATGACCTGGGAACATCCTACCTCTGAAAACCAGAATACATGTATAATTAGGATGAAAGCTGTGAGGTGGGTTTAACACTATTTGTAACATTTTATGGTAATAGGTCTCGTAAAAAAAACTTCTTATATCATTGAGATAACCCATAAATAAACCTGGGAGTGAGGTGAGATCAGCTGCAAATACAACACAGAAAAAACTCATTTGCATCCACATTAATTTATTACTTAAGATGCAGATTCTTTTTTTCTTCTCTATATGAAACCCAAATTCCTTCAGGATCCAAATTGCTCCATAGACTGAAAATTGGGAAATTAAAACTCACCTAATTCCCTTGTATTTTAACTCTCAGAGGACTGTGTCATAAGGGTGTCTCTTATTGTTAGGAGTTTATTAGAAGTTTAAAATAAATACTGGCCCTGTTCTTTGCTGTCACTAGATGTATTTGTTCTGAATCAATATAACTGATGTTCCTGGGCCTTGGTAGCTGAATTGATCCAGAACAATGATGCTGTTTGGATCCCAGCTGGGGACCACAACTCTCTGAAAATACCAAAAATAAATAAAAATAAATATATATTTGAAAACAAACACAGTGAAGTTTTTAGGAGATCGACCACAAGATACCGTTTGACTACAAAAGCAATTGGGTGGCATTCACTGGCTGTATGAATTGATCAAAATGTGAATGAAGTTTTGAATGAAGCCTCCTGTGTCCACTTCAAATGCAGCTTTTTTAAAGTCGTTCCACAAAGGTAACCCCAAGGCTATCGATTATTCTCTTAAAATCCTCTTTAAGGACAGCATCCATCATTTCAGATACAAACAGATGGATGCTGAACATTTCCTTCAGCAGAAAAAATAAGGTCTGAAATTGGTTATGTTGTTTATTCTGCACACATGACATCTATCACACTTCTGTCCATCCTGGTAGAGGGATTCCTCCTCTGTTGTTCTCCCTAAGGTCTCTTCCTCTTTTTTTTGGGGGGGGGGGGGGGGGGGGGGGGGGATGCGAGGGTCCTGGGACTGAGGATGTCGCATGTGTACAGATTGTAAAGCCCTCTGAGGCGAATTTGTGATTTTGGGCTGTACAAAAGTAAATTGAATTGAATTGAACTTACTAGCATTTTCTGGACATTTTCACTGCATCTCATGGTCTTCATCAGCAAATGAAAGCGACTCAGGTGTCATCACGTGAACTACAGTCTGTCGAGAACATGTGGGGTGATAACAAGTGGCGCCTGAGTTATTTCCATTCACTGATGAAGAACAGGAGATGTTGAAAGCTCAGTAAAAAACCTAATAAGTGGACCTTGAGTCGAGATTATTTTGTCACAGATACTGATCCCATGAACCAATGAACTGCCGTGCCTGAAGTTGTTCTATTTGGCCTCTGAACACATCAACTGAAAATGTTTATATTTTGCTTCATTCAGTTGAATTATTTGCAAGTTATTGTGTTATTTCTGTTATTATTTAATTTGTCTTAACATTTAGACAGTTACACTAATTTTGGAGGATATAGATGGTTTTGGAGAGACACAACAGGGTAAATGATGACATAATTTAGATCTATAGACAGATAGATGGATAGACAGACAGATGGATAGACAGATAGATGGATAGATAGACAGACAGATGGATGGATGGATGGATGGATAGACAGACAGACGACAGATGGATGGATGGAAAGACAGACAGACAGATAGACAGACAGATAGACAGACAGATGGATAGACAGATAGACAGACAGATGGATAGACAGACAGATGGACAGATAGACAGACAGATAGACAGACAGACAGACAGACAGACAGATGGATAGACAGACAGATGGATAGATAGACAGATGGATAGACAGATGGATAGACAGATAGACAGACAGACAGACAGATAGACAGATGGATAGACAGACAGATGGATAGACAGATAGACAGACAGACAGACAGATAGACAGACAGACAGACAGATGGATAGACAGATAGACAGATAGACAGACAGATGGATAGACAGACAGATAGACAGACAGATGGATAGACAGATAGACAGACAGACAGATAGACAGACAGACAGACAGACAGATGGATAGATAGACAGATAGACAGATGGATAGATAGACAGACAGACAGACAGACAGATGGATAGACAGACAGATGGATAGATAGACAGATGGATAGACAGATAGACAGACAGATAGACAGACAGACAGATGGATAGACAGACAGATGGATAGACAGACAGACAGACAGATGGATAGACAGACAGACGGATAGACAGACAGACAGATAGACAGACAGATAGACAGATAGACAGATGGATAGATAGACAGACAGACAGACAGATGGATAGATAGACAGACAGACAGATGGATAGATAGACAGACAGATAGACAGATGGATAGATAGACAGACAGACAGACAGATGGATAGATAGACAGACAGACAGATGGATAGATAGACAGGTAGACAGACAGACAGACAGACAGGTAGACAGACAAACAGACTTCATGTACTAATAGATAAGAAACACATAGCATGAGGTGAAACGTTTTCTTTTTATTATTCATGTTACATATTAGGTGTCAACGCAGAGTATACATGTACAAACGTAATTTCTCCCAAAATACATCAAACTGAACGTGGACTTGACTACTTATCAGAAAAAAAAGAAGACTATATCTCCCAAAATAAACGATGTTCCTCAATGTTGATGTCTTCATTTCCTCCTTTTTTTGTTATGTTTTAAAACGAATCGGGTTGAGTTCCACCTCGAGTACGACCTATAACAAGCACTTAACGGGTATAGACATACCATAGAAAACACACAAATACATTCATCACCATCGCCTAGAAAGGTTCAACACACCCCTTCCCTAATCAACTACAGTCAAATAGTCACTGAGGAGGATGACAACTGCAATCAACATAAGTTCACTGAAAATGTAAGCAGGAGATAATTCAACAGAGGTCGGCTTTGAAATCAAATCTGAGAGAATTGCATCGGTTCGATTATAACAGTATAAATGCTGTATTTGTCCTTTGCTTTTGTCAACTTGAACTGTAATGCAGTCTTTCCTGAAAGATAAAACTGATGAATGTATACGTTTGTGTTGAGTTTTATCGCACAGATTGCTGAAATAAACCTCTGTATAAAATATAAACTCTGAAACTTGCACCACAGTTTTCTAGATTTATGTGACCTGTTTGCACGAAGATAAAATCCAACTCCAGCAGCTCACTTGCCTTATGAATTTTCTACTTGATGCCATGTTGCATTTTCTAAATTATAGACTGTTAGACCCTGGAAGAAACTATGGGTTTGAGTTAGGGAGTCGGGCCTATCAGTGTCTTCTTTACCTGTACTGTTACTTTGAACGCAAGGATTGAACTCCCTACGACGTGAACCTGAACCTGAACTGGACCTTTACTTGATCTTCATGACATGTGACACCCATCAAAAACAAAGCAAAGAGAAAAGAAACTCATTCTTTCAAAGTAATTTCCATTCCGATGACTTCAAACAGACATTTCAAGAACATGTATATATTTCTTTTTTTGTTTGGAATGTACAGTAACATCACAGTCCTGTTCCGATAACAACTCAACATCATAACTGGTCCTTGTTACCCATGTGGTTGTATCTGTTAACTGATAAAGAGCCATCCTCTTGTCGAGTAGCAATACGGCCTCGCTCATCTCTCCGTCGTCTGATTGGTCGACTCGGGTCGGCAGACCAACCGGCAGGTACGCAACCCATATAGGCACTATTCAACCACGTCAAAAAAATAAAGTAAAGTTATTCGATCATAGCAATATATTGTGAATATATAATTCTATCTATAAAACAAAAGCCCTCTTGTGGCTCCTATTTCTAATACAGTCGTCTAAATGTAAATTATGTATGACAAAATCTAACATAACAAATAAGTAACCCCATAATAACATGTATACAATCTCTTATTAACATATGAGGAAAAATAATATGAAAACCTCCGGAGAATTAGTTTTTTATGAAGTCTGATGACAGGGCTCAACCACTACTGTCACAGTTCCCTTCAGCAAGGCGTTAAAACTACAATACTGTACAAGACTGGCTGTACTGCTCCGCTTCATTGTGGCCAATAAAAGGTTACTGCTTTTTTTCATGAGCAGCCAGCAGCCATCAGCCAGCTGTCATCACGCCTCTCACTGATGAAGACGCACCATTCATCACTGTTTATTTCCTGGGCTCATTTTTCTCACTGAACACGTGAACATTAACATTATCAGTTGATGAATGAGCAATTACAACAGTGACGGCTGATGGAAGTGCGTTGGTTACTGGCTGTTAAGCTTGCTCATTTTTTGGATATCCATGTCAAATGCTGGGGGAAGTTATTTTTGTTACCTTCAAAGAGAACAAAGGGGTTACATCTTAAACTTTCTCCTTATTTAAAGTACCTACTAAGCAGTGATTTGGTGATTTGAGTCAGTTTATTCAGACGTCTGGATATTTAAACTAAATTTGGTTTGAAAAGTTAATCATTTTTGACCGCCAGGCTACAGATAATTCTTGTTTTTCTCGGCATTTAAAGGTGCAGTGTCTGGTATTTGGCGCCATCTAGTGGCGAGGTTGCATATTGCAACCAATTGAAACTTCTACTCTGTGCCAAGTGTGTTAGGAGAACTATGGTGGCGCAGGCAAAAACGTGAGCTCCATTTCTGCAAATAGATCTCCTGAAATTCTACACACTGTTCCTTTAAATGACTATACTTCAGTTCCAGGTTTGGTCTAACTACACATTCAAATACAGTAATTTTAACACTGGAAAAGCGCCTTTTCACAAAATGTAGCTAGTTTTTAACCTTGACCTTTTTATTCAGATATGTTTTGTGCAACAAGCCACATTGAGTTGTTCATTTTTTTTTTAATTTGACTTCTTGTATTGTGTTTCTAAAATATTTTTTTGGGAAATATGCTTATTCACTCTCTTGCTGCAAGTCGGATATGAGGATCAATAACCGTTTCCTGGCTATATCTTCATAATAACTACACAGACACGAGAGTGGTGTCAATCTGCTCATCGAACTCTCGGCCTGAAAGCCAATAAGTGTGTTTCATCAAACTTCGAACTAACCCATGGCAGCATGTTGTCTGGTGGAAGTTTGCGATATTACTCAAGCAAGGAAAAAGCAGTAATCTTTCTTTTCTAAATTTCTTGTACTGTACTGTAGCTTATCTCCTAGTGTTGTCTATCTAGTGTTTTATATCAAGATGTGACTACAATTAAAGACATGCTCCTCTCGATTACGAAAGGATTTACAAATCATCAGGAGGTTTAAATATCTTCATCCTCATCACTGTTAAACATGATAAATGCAAAGGCATATTCCAAAGTTAACAGTACAAATATCAGAGAAACACTAGCAAAGAGGGACATTTAGTAACGAGTAGTGAGTTATAATGATGTAGAATATGGTGATTCTATGAGAGCAACCTGGATTTGCAACGTGTAGAGATTTTTTTTTTCTTTTTTGTTTTGTTTGTACTTTAAACACTGCCACGTTTTACATACACAGTGTTCCTGTGGCAACTTGCAAGACAGTCATGGCGTCTCATGTTTACTCCCTTCGTGTCAGTACAAATTCACGTTCTCCCACTCCACAAGGTACTGCACCTTCCCGTCTGGTGTGACGCGCCTCGCCAAGATCCTCACCGCCTCGCCTCCTCCCCAGCTCCTGGCCACTGTCCCATCCCCCCCTCCGACTACCACCACACCTCCTCCACCGCCACCTCCTTCTCCTCCTCCTCCTCCTCCTCCTCCTCCGCCTCCTCCTCCTACGCCGCCCCCTACGCCCATACCGGCCTGGTATGGGGGCATGTCACGTAGGATGAGGGGCTCCAGCTGCTTCTGCCCCGGCTGGTGTTGGTGGTTGTTTTGGTGGGTGTGATGGTGCGGGTGGGAGTGGTGGTGGTGGTGATGGTGATGGTTGCCGTTAGAGTTGAGAGGGTATGGGAAGCAAGGTGGTGGTACTCTGCAGGTGTCCTCCGCGCTAGGAAAAGGGAGTCAGGAACAGGGACTGAATCATCCAGGTGTGGTTCACCATCTCAAACATACTGCAACACCATAGTATCAGTGAAATGCTTTTTAAAGGTTTGCTACAAATACAATGTAGTAAATAACTAAATAACATGTACAGCCTGAAGCATTTGTCACCGCCATGAACATAAAGTAGACTTGAAGCTGCTCTAATGACTATGTGTAAGGTGAACTGAGTTACTCATAGTGATGAACTCACTGAGAATTCTCCCCCAACTACAAAGCATTTTAGCATCTTTTGGGTCATTTTTTTGGTTTTTACGACCACAACTTTCGGTTTACTCATTTACGTCAACCTCATTTTCTGCAGTTTTCAGAAAAAAGCTCTAAAAGCCAACTGCACGCTACCTGCCCACCAACAAACGGCGTTAGCTGGTAAATATATTGCGGAGCATTTGGCAGCTAAACAGCCAGAATATTTCCCTCAAGAGTCGAAACCAACACAGAGCTAAATGGAGAGGGTCGGGTCGCCCGATGAATTCTAATGTTGCTCTCTGTCTGCTGGATGTGTAAATAAGCATGTTCCCCTTATTAAATGTATTAAGTGAAAATATGTCAATGTTGTGTTTACACTGCCCCAAAGTGGCCAAAAAATTAAATCAATGCAGTTTCAAACTGGATGAAAATAAATAAGAACGACTCTGTACCGGAGTCATGTTTCTGAATACCGATTAGAACCAATTAGACCAATTTCAATATATTTCTACTGAAAAACATCATAACACAACTCCAAAAAGTTCCAAAGAGGCCAAATAGATGAATGGAAACAAGTGGCAACTAATTAAATGTGTCTTGAAAACTTCTGATATCATATGTTGATTACGAGCAGTCATCTCAAGTTGAAACGCATCAACAGGGAAATACAGAATTCTGTATGTAGCACCTAGACAAATGCTAATTCCAACTGTTGTGAATTTAGTTCTAACAAATCTCCTGCTTGATGCTCAAATGTCTTCAATGCTACTCTGAAAAAGTGCATTTCTACAACCATGGTTACTTTAGCTTTGTAACTGTGTAACTGCCAAATTGTCCATATTTATTATTCTGTGTTTGGTGAAAAGGGTCCTCAAGAGCTACAGTCGGGCTCAAAGACCCCACGTGTGACTATATAACTCCATACATGTCAGGAGTTACTACAAAGGAGAACGACAGATGAGTAAAACCTGTTGTAGTGATGGAGACCCCTGGAGAGAGCAGTGTTTCCGTTGTACGTGCTGTGGTACAGAGCGTACATCCGCTTGGGAGGAGAGCTGTGGACGGGACGCACAGGGGTTAAAGACAACAATTGTTTTGCTACTTTATTCTAAAATTATATATATTTTCAACCAGCTGTGTTTCAAAACAGTAAGTAAAAGTCTATAATTTAAAGGTTCAGTTCACCCAAAAAATTTAAACAACAACTTAAGTTACAAGATATTTTGCACCAAGACTTCTGTTGTCATCCCCAAAACTATGTCGGCAAAAAGAGTTTTTTAGGTCACATGATTAAAAAAAGGATTGTGTCTGTGTGGATCTGTTGCGGCAGCAGAGTCAATGCCAGGGACATTTAGACAGCCTTTCCATCATAAACAGTACTTAAGTTCACAGGCATTTTTCAACCAACAGTTTGGAATCTTTTTTTTCACCAAAGTTAGCGCATTTAAGCGCTTTCTTTTTTAACTTATGAAAACATGCTAAAAATAGGCGAGAGACTTTTTCCAGGAGACAAGTAGCCTTCCCTTTCCTTGTTTCCGGCGTGTCAGGTTCAATGTCGCGAACAAAACAGTGAAAATGTTTCGGTGTTTACTTCTCTTTCTTTTCTGTTACTCATTCAGTCATTCTTTCAAACTCGGTGCCAACTAATTTAGAACAGTGTGCGAGCACTGCTTGGACGGAGACAAATGATATTTAGCATGTCCTGATAATTACTTATGACTACTGAAGATTCATTTTTCCTGGGAATGATGCCAATTGTAACATTTTCCACTAAAGACAAAAGCCATATGTAAGTGGGTGTTAAGTTTTCTTTAGACTTGCGCTCCACAGATGGCGCGCAAGCTCCGAGCAAGCGCAATATATCTCATATATTCATGGCCTACTGTACACCACTTACCTCGAACTAAGCTCCTCCTCTGACTTCCTGGAGTTGTAGAGGCTGGCCCCTTCCATATAGCCATGGCAACATGGCAGCAGCTCAATGGGGTTGGCAGCAACTGGGGGTGGACAAGCCTGGGCACAGGAGACACACACACAGATCAGCTTGTGTCTGGATGCCAGCATCATCACAGGAGTCAATCAAGCTCCGATACCTCCTGCGTAGGGAACGTTGAGTCTTGTAATAAAGAAAATCAGTGTGAAAACATCTAGAAACTGAGTTAATATACATTCTTTAGAGCTTGAATTACATGTTCCTGCATTTCCTGAGTGCAGATATGGGCAGATAAGTCCATACTAACAGAATGAATGGATGTGAGTCACATCATCAGGCGCTTAAATGTATCACCTCCAGAGCACATCCCATGGAGCTGTCTGGTTAGCGAGGCAGCTCTCCTGACACGAAGACTCGCGACCCATGGAAAGTAAGAATACCGGAGCATCACCAGAGCAATCAATCACTGGAAACGTCATCTGTGTGGACGCCACCTAAAGGTTGCTGCATTTCTCAACGCTTGGACTGTGACGCACGGCACCCCACTCTGACCATTATCATTCTCTCCTCCAGCATTACTATTAGAACAGGAGATTATTATTCAGTGGCCTCAGTCGACGTCTGTGCCTTTAAATGGATGCGCTCTGTCAATACTGCACTGCCAAGGTGCCAGCGCCACCTGGCCGAGCTGTAATCGACTGCAAAGTGCACTTGGAAGTGATCCCGGGCTTCACATATCAGCATTCGTCCCCGTCTCACTTTCCCCGCGACAACGAACCTGCTCCTCCAAGACGGACGGAGATTAGCATCAATCAGAGCGGCAGGCACAATGGGGCCTGGATGTGCCAGAGTGAAAACGAGTGCTCGGTGGAGAGCATTGTTCCAGGATTACTGTATGTGCACATACACGGATCAGAGTGTTGTGTAGGAGGACCTCAGCACAAAGAGCGCTCACCGTTCACAACGCTGTGTATAAATAGTAGCTGCCACATGCGACGTTTCATTGTGATCCGCCGGGAATTTGGGTTTGATGATCAAGATAAATGTGGTGCTGAACTGCAGATGTTGATGAAATACATGAGCGGGTTTTTCCGCACAGCCGAGTTTGTATTTGAATTATACATTTTAACTGAGGCAAAAGCCCGACGCTTCCATCTCCCGCACGCTACCTTTAGTCTAACCAAAGACATTAAAGTACAGCAAGACGCAGAGGAAGAATACCGAGGCACTGAGCTGCACTGGGTGTTAAAAGACAAGCCGACTGATTCAGACTGCGAAATGAACCTTCATCACAGCGGTGTGACTGACAGGTTATTTGGATCATGTAGAGCTGTTTACCTGGATACATAGAAGAAAAAGACAAGGATAAAAAAATAAATCAGAGGTTTGGTGGCCCAGACCCCCCTCCTCGCCCTGAGCCCGAGACAGAGGCACTGACCTGTGTCTCCATGATGCGACGCTTTGATTTACGCGACTCTGGCCCCCCCACTCTCCTCTGGCAGGGTAGTGACAACGGGCTGAAGTGAACAAAAACACACATAAATTAATAAACAAGCACGAACACACACACACACACACACACACACACACACATAATCCCAGTGTGCAATGTTTAGTTTATTAGTGGGTCCCCATAAAAGCCTACTGAGAGGTGTAAAACACAAGACAGTGAGATGATATACTGAATCATTTTATATATGAGGCCAAATATCATCAGCAGGAGGTTCAAACATATGGAAAGAATAACAATTTCCCTCCTTCTCTTTCTTCTTCTTCTTCTTCTGTTTGAAACTGAACTTGTCTCCTGTAAACCCCCAGAATGGCCCCTCAAGGCTGCAATGTCAACAACAACCCATAATTTGAAAATGCAGACTGGAATGATCAACAAACTCTAATTAGAGACCCAAAGGTAGGAATTTAAATGTATATTTTCTCCTAAAGACAAGACCAGAGTCGTTAAGACAGGAAGGATTTATCCTCGTGGAAGCATGAATGTGTCCATCAAACTGTTTGGTAACTGGAGCGCTTTGGAAGCCCAATGGTTTCAGGGCATGCAACCCAATGTTGTCGGTTTAATTGCAGCCGGGGATTTTTGGTACTGTCGAATGTCCAATAGAGGCGAGAATGCCCAAAAATATTCTTTTGAAAAAGTATTAAATGGAAATCTGGTCCTTGATTATGAGATATCTTGTGCATAAAGTTGACAGTTTGGCCTGAAGGGGAAGCAAAATATAAGCCACTGTCTGACATTGAAAATAGTTGACTTTACCTTCTGGAGAGCATTAATGTTCTCAGTATATTTTGTTACAATCTGCCCTTTAGACTTTAGATACTTCAGATAAAACCTGTCTCCGGTATTTTGCATTCAAATATAATCATTTCACCTCAGGGTGGAGAGAAAGAGGAAAGCTCAGGGAGCGGAGGTTCAGCCTCTGCAGGCTGTGAATATCTACAGCTAATTTAAAGAATTCATTTAGTCTGGATCATACTGTAGAAGATGGTGTTAGTGGAGGGGAAATGTCAACCTGCTATATCATGGGATCATTTAAATAATTAGAAATTATTTTTCTGTGTAGGACTGACAAATTAACCAACCAACACCACCATCTTACGTCCGCAGAGACCAGGGTCTAAATTAAGTTCCGGGGACATATTCCGGCGACATTCAACCCCAAAAGAGCCTGGTCGGAGGGTGGCACTGTGTGAAAGTACACTGGAGCTTTCGAGGTGGGGTTTGCAGGGACGACCTCGGCTGATTGGTCAAACACATACAGCGTCACTGCTTCAACTCGTGTACAGTTTCAGTCATAGAATAAGGGAGTACTCCGGGGTCAATTTACATTGATCAATTTGCCTAATCTTTAAACGCAGACAACAATGGGCTGAAGGAACCTTTTAGTTCCTTGAAAAGTATAGTCCTGGGACTAAAATGACCAGGAACTTCTTGGTGGAAACATTTTCGCCGTCTAAACGTCCATTCTCTTCTCTCTAGAAAGAGGGGTGAAGCCTGAAGCGATTCCAGCCAATAAGACCACTGTCTCTTGCTGACTACAGGGACACTTGCAGCTTGTAGCTTTAGATGAGCAAAGGGAACTAGAGGACAAATTACTGAAGATATGAATTTTGTTTCCGTGTAAGAAAACGTTACACTTGTGTTTCAGACTCAAATAATATGATTTTATTTTTTGTTCCCTTTAACACGGCAACTGATTCCATGGTAATTCAGTCTGAATAAGCTCCAGCGAAATGCTGAAAATATTAAAAAGGAAAAGTGTGTCTATGAAATCTGCAGACTACAGGACTACACACACACACACACGCACACTTATGGGTGTAAAAGCATAAGCACTCAGGGGGGCTAAATGCTCTTTTAGGAGAATAATAAGACACTGATACTTTTGCTGGCATATGAAAATTGCAGCCCTTTGATTTGCGTGTTAATTGTTCAGGCGTAATGACTATATGCCCTGCGGGAATCCCCGAGCTGTTATTGAGATAAGAGCTGAAAAGAGAGGCGCTGTCCTTACACTGACCTTCTCCGGTGCGTGATGTTGATAGGCTGGTCGGTGATGAGGGGCGACGAATCGGACGTCAGCGGAGGTGGGGCTCGGACCTGGAGCCCAAAAAGACACTTCTTCTTCTTGATCTCCTTTCCAGAGACGAACCTGGGGCGAGATTAAATATACAGCTTAGTACGTTCTGCCGTTCTTAAATACTTTTTTCATTACTCTTCGATGCTAATAATGCATTTTACATAGTGTAACAACATGTACTTATTCTCCTGATAAAAAAGTAGACTCATGGACATTTCAAAGTCAGTGACTGTGTAATTAAGTACACATAATTAGAGTAGACTTTTTTTGGGGCAAGTTCAGTGAAAACCCACTAAAAGCAATTAGACCTCTTGACTGTTTATTGTGATTTAACACCAACAGCTTGTGTTCTCTTCTAACAAGACAAAATAAGCACCAAAAAGTCTTTAATTTCCTCTGGTCTAATTGGCAGCTACGCTTTATTCAAAGCCACACGTTTTAATTTTTGCTCATTTCAGCCTGCGTGTCCACCGTCGCAAGCCGGGGAGCACTAAGAAGTCTCCTCTATTCATGGAGCGCTACTCATCAATCCGGTCATGTGTGGTCGGTGTTTATTCTACTCATCATATGCGACGACTTACCTGTCCTTGTGGGAGTTCAGAGCGTTGAGGAGATTGTGACAGCGGTCTTGCCTCGGCGTGTCAGAGAGCTAGAGGACAGACGGGAGTGAAAAATCAAAGCTGTGTTTACACAGTGGACGGCCATCAGACAGAGAACCGTTAATGCATAGGACGGTTTTCTTTTACGGCTGCTGTAAAACCCTGCTGCCATGTGATGACGGGGCAAACAATACGTTTCAAAATGTCTTTTAAAATAACAGCTTAAAGGAGAACCCAAAACCTCACAGGAAACGCTCATATAATCCCCCCCGGTGCGTACGTCTATCCACCAGTCTCTGTGGAGCAACTTCAGACTTTCAAATTGGTAATATCACAACTTTGAGCATCAGCACTCTAGTTTGAGGATTCTTCAAAACTCATTCATGTGCGGTCAGAGTGTCCTAGACTCTAGGACCCAGATCTAAAAAAGATGCAACGTCAAACGCAACTCTTTGTGGTGTTCCCCTTGAAGCTGACGTAGAGGTCATGTTTCTTTTTTTTTTTACTTTCAAAATGTACTTTAATGGCAGCTAATAGGCTTTAAGTCTCAAATGCAAAAAAAAAGGGCAGGCAGCATTTCACATTATTTCATCATGGTGCTTGAACGGGGAAATATCAATACCGCGCCCAGGAGCAACGAGTCCCAATTCTCATTGGTGAAGGACAGGATTTCATGGTCAAAATCAAAGTATTTCCTCTTGCAGCACAGCGAGAGATGGTAGAGCACTAAATGAGCCAAATCCATCCTGCGTTTCAAACAACACAAAAAAAGATTCGATATCAGAAACAGGTAAAACATAAAACGATAAAAAAACATATTCCGATTTTTTTTTTTTTTTTTACATATTTCAGAATATTTGTGAGCCAATCTTGACATACCATATTTTTATCACTATATAAATATATTATTCCAACTAATTAGCAACATCAGTATGTGCTGTGTTGTTGTGTGAAGTAGCATTGGATAAAACCATTATAGGGCAGGTCCATCTGCTTTCATTTCTCTTTTCTTTTTTAGGAAACGCCGACTAAGCCGTTAGCAAAAAGGTAAACAGAGAAAGCTAATGAATAATGTGAACATCAGCACAAGCTGAGGGAACAGAAGCTGTGCTAAGTTTGGAAATAACTGAAAGGGTTAGTTTGGATATGTGAGGTTGTATGTATAATGTAAATTGACAGTTTTGTCAATGGAGTCCCGTGGTTCCATTGACAAAAAACTGAGATCAATTTCATGTTGCATCGATAAGTTAGTTTGTGTTATTGCGTAACTTTCGGATCCGAACGAATGGGATGTCCATATTCCTCTCTGCTTCTCCAAACTGGTAGCATGCCGACCGCCATCTAAGTTACTGTAAACACTGACTGGATAAGGATACACACTCTGTATACATGTATCAGGTCACGTAAAGCTTTGTAGAGGGGCTCAAGAAAATAAAGTTTTGATGCTAAATCATACGTACTTCAACCAAAATTTGAATGTTTTGATTTGAATACTTAAGGGACACCATTGGTAAGCTACAGGATAACATAAAAACCTCAAAAATAAATTGTAATAATGGACCCGCCCTTTCATTTTTCTCTCAACCTAGACATGGAATGTACTGAAAAGTGACTTATTCTATTGTGAATGACTTATTAAAATGTGCTATGTGAAAGAAATTGGTTTGAAACTCCTTTTTTTTTGCTGCAAACATGTCAGTAAAGGTTTGACTGTTAACATCACCAGGTCATGGGTAGTCTTTGGATGGTCTCGGGTCCCTTTGTACACACTGAGCACTGGAACTGATAAAACCTAAAAAGACACGAGGAAAAAACGCATGAACATCTTCTCTTTGATTAATCAGTTTGTTGTTTACTTTAAAAAAAACAAACAGCTGTCATCTTAAATCTTGTCTTTATGCTTTGTTGCACGATCTCTGTGAAAACTCTTTTTGTGCAGACCTCTTATCATTTAGTCCAGGTTCTTCATGTACAACGGGATTTCTCCCCCTTTACCTTCCTTGCGGTCTACACAGGTCTCTGTTCTCTAGATATTTTATCATACGAATCAACCTGAACTGAAAATAAGCAGACAGGTGTGTGTGTGTTTCCCGATAATGACATTCTATTGTGGGTGACCCTGAAAACAATGTGTGCATCTGTCCTTCCACGGTACATGCATGTGTTCGCTGAAGGTCATCGGGAAAGATGAGGCGCAAACACAGTATGACGGCAGCAAATGCTTGCTATTCCAACTGTGAACTCTTCCTCCATCACCTGCTCAGCAGATGTTGTACCAATCCGGCCTCGCTCTCCCCGACTGTCAATCTAAATCTAATCCCTCTTTTCTCCCCCCCCCCTCAGACAGGTTCGGCAATAACAAGGTGTCAGGGTGGGTGTGGAGCCCAGTCCGCTAACACAGGTGGTTAATGACAATAATGACTTAATGGATGGATACATTTTATTACACGCTTCAGATGCAGCGCCGCGATCAGCATCTCGTATATATCCTCCCCTCATCGTATCAGATCAACTACCACAGAGGTGATACGTCTGCTCTGCCGTCCTTCTGCTCTCCCGAGTGTGTGTGAGGAGCTCTTGTCCCCGTAGCACAAGTCAGTGAGTACATTAAAACGCACACTAATGAGTTAGGCCGAAGCTAATTAAGGTAGTTCTCTGACAAGTGAAGCTGTCATGGAGACATCTTCGTGTGATTATCTTAATCAGCCTGGAATCTACTGCTGAGACGAGGTGCGGCTTAAATGCGCTGCTTTTCTCTGGCTTACATGATTGTAAACTGAATATCTTTAGGGGTTTTAAATGTTGGTTCGACAAAATGTGCAATTTGAAGACGTCACCTCTCTCTGAGAAATTGCAATGGGGTTTTTTTTCTCCACTATTTTCTGACATTTTATAGATTCAACGATTCAATCAATTAATCAGATGCATTGTCGAAAGATTATTTGAAAATGAAAATAAAGTTTGCGATCAAAGTATATTTAACTGAGTTAGCACAGGTAGGTTTCTGCTCACCTTGCAAAGTCAACACCATGTGGTGAGCAACCACTAAATAAAAAAATCAATAAGAAAAATCAATATAAACCAGGTCAACAAAGAAGTCACATATCTCACACCAAAACACATTCCGAATATTAGATCCTGACAGAAACATCAGCAAGTTATTGTTGGCTAATATTGACTTCCCACACACACATATGTGTATCGGCATATATGTTGACAGATGAGCAAATAGAATGTGCAGCAACAACAGTTTTACAGGCTATATTTTTTATTTTTCTTAAACTGGCAATAGGCAATTTTTGCTTCAGCTTCTAATTATAAAGTAAAGGTTGATTTTAGCGCAACGAGAACTGGAAGGGGGTAGCGCTTTTGTTTCCCTGTTAGCTATCGGTAGCTATCCCCGCGTACTAAAGTGCATCAATGTACGTTTATTGCAGTTGCTATCCCAAGTAGAGGAAATGGCAAATGGTGGAACAAAAAAAATAAAGCGGTGTGTCCTGTACTGTGTTGTGTTGTCAACTCTTTTCCGATGAACAGTAGCTAGCTCTCGCTCCAAAAGTTGCTAAAAGTCGACAGATGATGTCACGAGCAAAATTTGCATGAAGCTTAGTAGTTGTGTCGGTTGCAGCGAGGCAAAGAGCACCTGCTATTGGCTGAAGAGCCAATACTCTGAGCTACACAGAGAATGAATTACAATATGTTTCAATATATTTCTTGTTTTTTTTTTATGGTCTGAATACGTCACTAAATTTGTCGCTAGTCGTGCATATGAACACATTCAGAGTTTTAAAATTGTTAATGTTTATGACAAATTCCTTTATATTCATTGCAATGACAAAGTTATAATTCTGAATATTAAGAATCCAGAGCTTTTTCATGCTCAGTAACCCACCTGTCTCCATACAGCAGTGGCTTAATTAGACACTGTGTGCAGGCCTCGTGGAACCACTGACCACAGCTTCCACACTGCAACATCTTCAGGTTCCACCTGCAGTCAAACGACACGCAAAACATCAAGACGCTTCAAACACATGAATGACGTCCGACATCTGCCACCAAACACGTTTGTATTTATGCATAATTGAAGGAAGACTGAGGGCTGATGACTGCGGCTGACAGTTCTCATTTTCTGAGCTGAGATGTGTCTTCAGGTGTAAACTCCCCCCGGATCCTGCTTCTCATAAAAATACGGCAGTTTGGGAGTTTGTTTTATACTTATTCACGTGCCAGGTGGGTGGGGTTTGCCACATAAGCAAAAGAGTGCAACATAAGCAAAGGTGCAAAAACACAAAAATGAAACACCACGAATGCTTTTAAAAGAGTTTGGTGCAACATTTCTTTTCTTTGATTGACAGCTCACCTCACAGTATCTGAACTGATGCAGCGAACATCTCTCACATCATTCCAAGAAAGTCAAAACAAACTCAAAGAAATCCTAACACAGTGTGACACATGTCTGATATGCTGCATGCAATTTGCAAATAATCCAACAAGACGACTTTGACTTAGATGAGATTGAGCTTTCGGAGTCGATGCCAACTGTTAAAGAGCGCACACGAGCTGTACATTCAAACTTAAACTGGCCTCTGCAGTGTCACTCACTCTCCAGGTCCGGCGCAGTAGCAGTAGCACTGCTGCTGATTGGTCAGATGCTGCGGGTCCCAGTCCAAAGACGACAGCTGGTAGGGAAGCCGGAGTTTCATGAATTGCATGAGCCGGGCGAAGCGTCCCCGCTTGAGCGCCCCGCCTCTCTGAAAACACAATTTTAGGACACAACTGATTGGTCGGTGAACGCTCAAATCACTGTCATGTCAGAGCAGCCAGGGAGACGGATCGCATTCGGTGGGGAGAAGGCAATTCCTCTCATTTTATTGTCGGTCGGCCGTGAGAGATAGTGTCCGAAGCGGCGGAAGTCTGGACAATGAGATATGGACATTGACCGATTGACAATTAACCGGGTGCTTTCTCGTCTCATATCTACAGAACTGGAGCACATGTGATTGATTGACTTTAAATGTACTTCTCTCAACTCCAGCGTAGTTTTTCAGCTTCATAACTATTGATTCTTCATGATTTCTTGGACACAATGTAGAACATCTAATATTGAAGTCAATACTGAGGGAATTAGTGTGCTTTTGCCTTGAATAAACCCATTTTCTGCTGTACACAACAGCATTGTGGCAGCAGCAAAGCCTGATATATTTGTCCCACATTACACACTGAATGTTTTTTTTCCCCCGAGTGTGAGACGGAGAGATTAGCAGCCTGACCTTGGTTGCGACTGCAAAAACACATTGCCGACATATCCACGAATCGCTGTCAGCTTCCGGTTCGATGGCTGGCGTGTGGCACTCTGGATGATAACCTGTAATGGGAGGAGGAGGCAGAGCATTTAATTCGTGTTTACAAGACAGACAGCCGGAGTGACGATAATGGCAGAGCGGCTCCATGTTTAGTGATCTGCTGGTTTTTCCGTCAGGGGCGATGCAAAACATTTTACTTTACTATTTGCATCTAGGGAGCAGGCAGTGTGTTTGTCTGCTTTTTACCCGAAACAAACTGTCAGCAAACCTGTTAGTCTGACAGAGCCGTAACGACGTGACGGTAACATTTGCTGCTTGTCCTGCTTGTGCATCCTGCTGCTGAGTGTCTGTAGAACTTATTCCCACTTGCACTTTGGTTTATTTAATTTCATCCTTCAAACTTTTAAAGGGACAGTTCACCACAAAATCTAAAATACATATTTTTCCTCTTACCTGCGGTGCTATTTATCAATCTAGATTGTTTTGATGTGTGCCTAGTTCGGCCGTAGGAAGCTGTGAATTGTTGAAAATGCATTTGGGATTTTGGGGTGAAAACTGCCTCTTCACTCAACAATGTGTTATATTTTGAGTTACTTCACTTGGATGTTTTGCCTTCAGTGTGCAGAAGGATGTGTGTGCAGAGTTTGACACCAGACAGGTGTTTTTTAGTTTGAGGTTTGAGGTTTTCTCTGCTCTCCCTTTAAATCTGAGTTCAAGGCGAGCGCACAAGAGCACGATTGACATGTTTGGTAGAGAGTGGACTTTACAGTGAAGTAGGATATATCTTGTGTCCAGGAGTTCAACTTTTTCATAGATTCTTGACTTTTCAATGAGGTAGGAGTGGATGTAATTTTTTGAATTTTAATGACATAATTGATGCAATTTAATTTGTCTTGAAATATGTGCGGAGGGGTAAGTAAGACAACTTGTGGCATTTAGGTCTATGAATTAAGCTCCATGTCTCATGAATGTCTCATTCATTTCTATTCTAGCCAGGCTGCAGGCGCAACAATTCATTCCTATCATTTCCGATAGATGGTTTTCTGTGTCGTTGTTTTGTTTTGTTTTTTTTCAAACGGCAATGCTGTTGTCTGGCGTACTCTGTCAAATCTTCAAGGTCAGTGCAAGAACTGGTGGAGATCCAGCGCTTGACAGCGTATGATGAGGCGTGCTTCCTTACCGTGGCGACATTTAAGACAATTTATGAGGGGTTCTTTAAGAGGCGGAGCGTCGCAAATACAGCAAACTTCTTCCTCTCCAGCAGCGACTAAGGCAGACAGAGAAAGACAGAGAGAGAGAGAGAGAGGCAGGGGAGGGGAGGAAGTAAATGTGAAAGAGGAAGACAGAGAGAGACAGAGAGAGAGAGAGAGAGAGAGAGAGAGAGAGAGAGAGAGAGCAGTCAACGGCATTAATTTATGTATATTGATTCACATCCTTGCCACCTCATTGATTTCCATGTCTCCTGCACCCTTTCAGATTTCACTTCATTTGACGGGTGGATATTCAGCCTGGTCCTAACAAGCGTCCAACTTCCCCCTTCGCTTGATGTTAGGTGGAGTGGGGGCGCCATTTCCCTGAAGAGTCATTAATCTAATAAATTCATAAATAGACTCTAATATACCAATTACGTCTCGCCGTGCCCCGATCAGAACACTCAGAGCACTCTGCATCATAACTTCCAACGTGACTGTAATTTCTCTCCTGCAATTTTTCGATTCAGAGATCCTGACACAACCGGTGCAAAGAAAAACAACTGAGAAATTTTAAGCTCACATGGGCAACGAATCACAAAAGTATTCCTTCAACTCTTTGGTCAAAGTTTCAGAGTGGAAACAAAGTAACAGCTGAGCTTATGTGCATTCCAAAACTCAATCTAAGAGCTTTTTTTTTAACCTATCAGACACCCAAAGTGCTCCCAACAGGAAGCTATTTAACTCTTCTAGCTGAAGGAAGAGAGAGTAATAAAAAAGGAGTTCTTCTTACACGAGTGAATGTCCTTCCTCAGCACCCAGAACTCCGAGTTGTCCTCAAATCTCACCAGACAACATTGCTTGACTCCATCTACCTGAGAGGGAGATAGCAGGTGAGCGAGAATGACTGACAAAACTAAATGGAACTCTTTTCAAAATCCAGGTGAACACACTCACTGACACACACACACACACACACACACACACACACTACACACACTCAGAAGTCTGTCTGTCACACACACACTCCCACATGCACTTACTCTTTTCACATTGCCGAGGTACAGTAGTCCATCACTCCATCGAGCCAACACATCATCTCCTTCACTTACTCCCCCCATCCTGAGGAGAGAGACAGAGAGGGGAGAGAGAGAGAGAAAGAGAGAGGAGGGAGAGCAGGGCTCATGTGAAATGGAAATCCGATTTATTCGCTGAATACTTTGCTGCCATTGCTGACAGAGGGGGTTTATGGCCCCGACGTTTCGGCTGGCTCTCAGACAGGCGGGCTTCGGTGCAAAGGGGTTAAAATCCCCCCCTCCCCCCCACCCCACACACACCCCCCTTCTCCTCCTTTTAGATCAGAGCATAGCGACAGCCTGTATCCACCACAGTGAAAGATGAGCGTGAGTACACAACCAGAGAGCAAGACAAATGATTACTGCACACATGAAACACACACACACACACACACACACACACACACAGAAAAAACACTGCATGATGACTGCTGCAATACAGTTTGATTGAATGAAGATCAGTGTGCGGCTACTTGAAAGCGTCTGCCAGGCACTTTGCTGTTTTCTTCTCCTCTCCAAAACATCCTTAAAACAACTTGAATAGACGCATGAAATGACTGCGCGGGCATTATCTCTGCAAGCATTTGTTCCAGTGCATGCACTCAAGTCAAGACAGACGCAGGATGCACAACAGTGCATGTAGCCTTTTGTGAATCACAGAAAGGAAATCAGGCAAATTCGCACACAGTGAGCTGCGCCGGTGAAGGGTACCTGTCAAGTCGAACTCCTTTCCCGTCGGGGTCACAGTGATTCCTGGGCAGGCTGGACATGCAATGCCCTCATCTGCTGTGGATCTCCGCTGCCCAATTACTGCCCGCTCGGATGCGCAGCCTGCGTGTTTGCAAAAAGTGGATGGTGTGCATGTATGTCCCTGTCTTTGCCAAGCGCCCGTGTGTGTGTGTGTGTGTGTGTGTGT